GTCCAGGAAAGAGCTGGAAAATAAACTTCACCAAACTAAAGCCACAGCGGGCGGGATGTAGGTATCTCCTAGAAATGGTAAAAACACTTTCTCTGGATGGACTAAGGCATTTACCACCAAAAATAAAACTGCCTCTATGGTAGTTAAATTCTTGCTCAATAAAATCACCCCTCAACGTGGGCTGCCGTTCGCCATAGGGTCCAGTGATGGGCCGGGCTTCACCTCGCCTGTGGCTCAGTGAGGGGTTCAACAGACAATGGAAGCTCCAATGTGCCTCCCGGCCCTGGAGCTCTGGACGGGTGAAACGCGTAAATCGTACCCTAAAAAATACTCCTACAAAATGAACCTTGAAAACCGGTAAGGGTTAAACAAACCTTTAGCCCTTCTTAGAGTCAAACGCACCCCTTACAAAGTGGGGTTCTCTCCTTTTAAAATCATGTATGGAAGGACTCCCACTATTTTGCCTAAGCTAAGGAAGAGCCATTTAGCAGAAATATCCCAGGCAAACCCGTTACAGTACCTGCAGTCTCTCCAAAGGGTTCAAAACACCATCCAGCCCCTCGTCTGGGGAGCACACCCTAAACCGGTTCCTAACCAGACCGGGCCCTGCCGCTCTTTCTGTCCTGGTAACCTGGTGTATATCAAAAAGTTCCAGAAAAAAACTCACACCGCCATCCTTACCACACCGTCGGCCCTAAAAGTGAACGGCGTTGCTGCTTGAATTCATCACTCCGGTATCAAGAAGGCCAGCAAACCCCCGAAAAGAAACATGGGTCTCACAGCCCGGGTCAGGTCCTTTCAAACCGCGTCCAAGCCAGGTAAAGTCGACAAACGAGCTTTTCTAGCTTCTCTTCTCCACCTGTGTCCACCCACGAGGCTCATCAGTCTGAAGTAATTAAAGACAGCCTTCAAGCCGGGCGCGGTGGCTCAAACCTGTAATCCCAGCACTTTGGGAGGCCGAGGCGGGTGGATCACGAGGTCAAGAGATCGAGACCATCCTGGTCAACATGGTGAAACTCCGTCTCTACTAAAAATACAAAATATTAGTTGGGCATGGTGGCGTGTGCCTGTAATCCCAGCTCCTCAGGAGGCTGAGGCAGGAGAATTGCCTGAACCCAGGAGGCGGAGGTTGCGGTGAGCCGAGATCGCGCCATTGCACTCCAGCCTGGGTAACAAGAGCGATACTCCATCTCAAAAAAAACCAAAAACAAACAAAGAAAAAAAAGACACCCTTCAAAGGGGGCACGAAAACTTGTGTCATCACCAGCCTTTGAACCCGCGTCCTCAATTGGCTCCTAAATTGGGTACAACAGCGCGTAGCGTCTGTCAGACTTTTGTGTCTCAATATAACCCTCTTGTAACTGAAGAGTCCATAATGCTTTGACTCCCCAAAACACAAGAGGGAAATGTAACAACCCAAAATGCGCTAGCCTGACGACTCCCCCCACCGTTTCTCCCTCGAGTACATACCTGGGCCACATTGTGCTGGGTCACGTTGCGCTTAAAACTATAAAAACATATAACCGTTGTAAACATATCCTGCTTAGCAAGCCCCTTGCTATTGTGAACACCCCTTGATTAATTATATGGAAAGTATCGAATGCCCCCTCGGTAACCAGCAATCACGGGAACCACCTGTGGGCCCTCCTCAGTTAATCAACAATCGTGGGAGCCTCCTGCCTCCTGGCTGCCAGCCTCCTCCCTAACCTGCCCATTCTGCTTCTGTAAAATTCCGCTTTGCCCCCTTACCCTGAACATACAAAGGAAATCAAACCCCTTCCTCGAGGCCGAGAGATTTTCAACATCAGCTGACTGTCGGTCGCCGGCAGTAAAGAGCTCACAATCCAGTTTCGGAGCGTGGCGTTTTCCTGTCCACTCACGGGGGTATAACACGACCTCCAGTGTCTATGGAGGTGACACTCCAGGGACTTCCCATCAGTGGAATCACTCAGGATCTGTCTTGCCGTGACTGGCTTGATTCACTCAGCATAATGTCCTCAACGTTCATCCACCATGCAGCACAGGTCAGAAATCCCTTCCTTTTTAAGGCTGCCTTTTTTTTTGTTTTTTTTTTTTTAAGGCAGGATCTCACTCTGCCACCCCCGTGGGAGAGCAGTGGTGCAATCACAGCTCACTGCAGCCTCAATCTCCTGGGCTCAAGCGATCTTCCCACCTCATTTTTAAAATTTTTTTATAGAGGCAAGTTTTCACTGTGTTGCCCACGCTGGTCTCGAACTCCTGGGCTGAAGTGATCCTTCCACCTTGGCCTCTCAAGATGCTAGGATGACAGACGTGAGCCACTGCACTGTAAGGCTGTCTGCTGTTTTTATTTATTTATTTATTTTTACATGGGTTTTTGGTCAGGCACAGTGGCTCACGCCTATAATCCCAGCGCTTTGAGACGTGAGGTGGGCAGATCATGAGGTCAGGAGTTCAAGACTAACCTGACCAACACAGTGAAACCCTGTCTCTACTAAAAATACAAAAAAAATTAGCTGGGCGTGATGGCGGACGCCTGTATTCCCAGCTACTAGGGAAGCTGAGGCAAGAGAATTGCTTGAATCTCAGCTTGTTGCAGTGAGCTGAGATCGCATCGCTGCACTCCAACCTGGGCAACAGATCGAGACTTGTTTCAAAAACAAGAAGTTTTTATGGAAAGTAACACAGGGTACAGAAAACTCCAACAGTACAAGGCAGACACATGGCTTCCTCTTCCCCAGAGCTGTCATGCCCAGCGTCCTCCAGGGGGTACTGGGGTGGTGTTGCCTGGGTACAGCTTGTGCCCGAGTGGGGCCATGTCATCATCACCTTCGCCTGCTGGGGTTCCCCCCACACCCTGTGCTGGCACCGTGTTTTTCCTGGGGTGGGATGTTGGGGGGGCCACCTCCCTGCTCTGTGCTGCCGTGTGAATATCCTCCCAGGGACATCTTCCTGTGTGTGTGTCTGGCAGAAATTCCTAGACATGGAACCCTTGAGTTTACGCAAGGACATATGTGTCACTGTTTTGATGCGTCACCTCCAAAGCACCCTGCCACGGCATCGCCGGACTGCCGGTGTGCCCAGCCACCCCCGCATGGCTTTCCGCTCTGCTCACGGGGAAGACGGTGGAGGCGTGGCCCGGGCATAGGTTTCCCCGTGTGCTGAGGGTGTCGTCAGCCACCTCTTTCCCCAGGTCATTGACCTGCAGCTGATTTTGTCTTCAGGGGCTGTGGAAACTGCCCAGAAACGGGAGCGAGGCCTCTGAGACCCTGCCTCGGCTAGACTCTCTCCCGGCTTCGGTGTCCCCTCCTAGAGCTGGCACCGACTCTGTCCAGGACTCTGCTCAGTCACTTCCTGACCGGTCCCTGAGTGCTCAAGTGTGTGATGAGATTAGGGCTCCCCGAGGCAGGAAATGGCCACACTGGACCCCTCCCTCCCCCATCCCTACTTCATTTTATCTTCCCCAACCCTCACGGCCTCCAACTAGGTCCTCCTGCTCCCAGACCCCCCCGCCAGCCCCTGTCCCCTATTCCCTATAGCCCAGCCCAGAGTACACTGGGGCCAGAACCCCCCATACTGGGCTCCTCTAGGGCACGATAGGTCAAGGCCTCTCTGAGGCAGGGAGGGACAACACGGAGTGGCCATGTGCAGGAGGGAGCAGGGGTACTCACCCCCCGAGCCTCAGTTTCTTCATCTGCATGGTAAGCCCCCATCTGATGGTGCCCAGGAGCGGGAGTGTGCTGGAACTAGAGGAGGAAGGTCCCCCTCAGAGGCTGTCTCAGCCCCCCTCCCCCAGCCTGGACACCTCGATCAAGGTCCCCTGTCGCTGCACCTGGGGCCCCAGGCTGTGGTGGGCCAGGACAGGAGCAGAGGGGCTTCAAGAACCAAGAATGGGGCTGGGCGCGGTGGCTGACGCCTGTAATTCCAGCACTTTGGAAGGCCAAGGCAGGAGGATCTCCTGAGGTCAGGAATTCAAGACCAGCCTGGCCAACATGGTGAAACCCCATCTCTAATAAAAATACAAAAATTAGCTGGGTGTGGTGGCAGACTCCTGTAGTCCCAGCTACTTGGGAGGCTGAAGTGGGAGAACTGCTTGAACCCAGGAGGCAGAGGTTGCAGTGAGCTGAGATCCTGCCACTGCACTCCAGCCTGGATGACAGAGCAAGACTCATCAAAAAAATAAATAAATAAATAAATAAATAAATAAATAAAATAAAACCAAGGATGGGCGTCTCCCAGAGGGCAATAGCAGCAAGGGGTCCCCTCAGACCCACAGAGGAGGTCAAGCTCAGCGTCAGGGACTCTGGCTGAACCTCGAGAGTCCCTCAGCCATCCTCAGCTGACCCCATATGTGCAAGGCACCCCTGTATGTGTGCCTCACTTTGCTCTCGCCCAGGGGACACACGGGCAGCTGTAGGGAAGACAGCGATGCCAGGGGCAGCCCTTGCCAAGGACCAAGGAGACTTCGAGGGGTGTGGCTCACCTGCTCTGACCTCTGATCTCTGACCCAGGGAAGCAGGGCTCTTCTTATCCTACCCACCAGCGACAGGAAGTGGGGGGGAGGTGACTTCAGGAAGGGCCCAGAGCCTCTGATGGGCGTGGGGATTGGGGCGAGGACAGGGCTGTCACGAAAACAGCGGCTGCAGATGTGAGCAGCTGGTAAGAAGTGGCCACTCAGGCTGCAGATGCTTCCTGGGCTGGTCAGGAGCTGGGGGTGCTGGCTGCAGCTGGGGGTGCTGGCTGCAGCTGGGACCCCCTCTGCATCTCACTGGCCTGGCACCTGGGTCCCCAGGAGGCACCACAGCTGGACACAGCAACCTGGGGCAGCCCAGCCTCCGTAGCCTACATTCCGGTCCTCCCACAGGCTGGCTGGCGAGCGGCCCTGGTGGGTCTGCCGGGCGGGAGCCGTGCCTTCCCAGTGTATCTCCCCTGGCACGATCTGCTCATCCGCCCAGGATTCCAGAAGCTGGGGCTCGGTCTCCGGTGAGGCAGGAAGCCTGAGGCCACAGCCCAGGGCAGCGGAGCCCAGTCATGTGCGGGCGACTGCTCCTGTGGCCCCTGGTGCTGGGGTTCAGCCTGTTGGGCGGTGCCCAGACCCCCAGTGTCTACGATGAGGGCGAGAGCACCGGAGGCGGCAATGGTGAGTGGTCCTGGCCTCAGGGTGCAGAGACGGGGTTACATCAGGGATGGAGCCGGGGCCCGGAGCAGGGGAGGGGGAGGCTGGGAAGTTGGGGTCTTTAGCCCGGTCCACTCTGCACTCTGTCCCTGACCCCATAGGGCTGGGCTATTCCCTTGAATGTCATATCCAGCTGTATCCCACCAGGGCAGACCCCAGGCTCTTAGCACCTCCCTCCCCACTGCCTGTTGTCACCCATCGAGGCAGGTGCTGACCAACGTCCCCTCTCTTCCCCAGACAGCACGCCCTCAATCCGGCCCGGCCCCCGCGGCTACCCAGGCCAAGTCTGTGCCAATGACAGTGACACCCTCGAGCTCCCGGACAGCTCACGGGCGCTGCTTCTGGGCTGGGTGCCCACCAGGCTGGTGCCCATCCTCTATGGGTTGGTCCTGGCAGTGGGGCTGCCGGCCAACGGGCTGGCACTGTGGGTGCTGGCCACGCGGGTACCACGGCTGCCCTCCACCGTGCTGCTGATGAACCTGGCAGCCGCCGACCTCCTGCTGGCCCTGGTGCTGCCCCCAAGGGTCCTGTACCACCTGCGTGGCCAGCGCTGGCCCTTCGGGGAGACCGCCTGCCGCCTGGCCACGGCCTCGCTCTATGGCCACATGTATGGCTCGGTGCTGCTGCTGGCCGCCGTCAGCCTGGACCGCTACCTGGCCCTGGTGCACCCGCTGCGGGCCCGCACCCTGCGTGGCCGGCGCCTGGCCCTGGGACTCTGTGTGGCCGCCTGGCTCACAGCGGCTGCCTTGGCACTGCCCCTGGCGCTGCAGCGGCAGACCTTCCGGCTGGCGCACTCCGATCGCGTGCTCTGCCATGACGCGCTGCCTCTGGATGCCCAGGCCTCCCACTGGCGACCGGCCTTCACCTGCCTGGCGCTGCTGGGCTGTTTCCTGCCGCTGCTGGCCATGCTGCTGTGCTACGGGGCCACCCTGCGCACGCTGGCGGCCGGCGGCCGGCGCTACGGCCACGCGCTGAGGCTGACCGCGCTGGTGCTGGCCTCCGCCGTGGCCTTCTTCATGCCCAGCAACGTGCTGCTGCTGCTGCATTACTCGGACCCAAGCCCGGGCGCCTGGGGCAATCTCTATGGCGCCTACGTGCCCAGCCTGGCGCTGAGCACCCTCAACAGCTGCGTGGACCCCTTCGTCTACTACTACGTGTCAGCCGAGTTCAGGGACAAGGTGCAGGCGGGGCTCTTCCGACGGCCTCCCAGGGACACCGTGGCCTCCAAGGCCTCCGGGGAGGGGGGTAGCCGGGTCATGGGTACCCAATTCTCTTCGCTCCAGTGATGCAAAGTGGGGAGGGAGCTACTGGGTTCCACAGGGTCCTTTCTCCCACTTCGTGTCTTTCTTGGAACCTCAGAATGTGACCTTATTTGGAAATAGGGTCATTGTAACTGTCACTGGTGGAGGTCACTTTGGAGAAGGGTGGGCCTTACATCCAGCGTGGGTGGTGCCCTCATAAGACAAGGAGAGGCCAAGCCTGGTGGCTCGCGCCTGTAATCCCAGCACTTTGGAAAGCCAAGGTGGGCGGATCACCTGCAGTCAGGAGTTCAACACCAGCCTGAGCAACATGGTGAAATCCCAACTTTATCAAAACACAAAAATTAGCCGGGTGTACTGGTGGGTGCCTGTAATCTCAGCTACTCAGGAGGCTGAGGCAGGAGGATTGCTTGAACCTGGGAGGCAGAGGTTGCAGTGAGCCAAGATTTCGCCACTGGACTCCAGCCTGGGTGACAGAGTGAGACTCTGTCTCTAATCAACTAATTAAATTTTAAAAGGAGGAGGAGAGATGGCCAGGTGTAGTGGCTCACACCTGTCATCTCAGCACTCTGAGAGGCCGAGATGGAGGAATTGCTTAAGGCCAGGAGTTTGGGACCAGCCTGGCCAACATAAGGAGATCCCATCTCTACAAAAAAAAAAAAAAAAAAAAAAAAGAACCAGGCATTATGGCACACACCTGCAGTCCCAGCTACTCAAGAGGCAGAGGCGGGAGGATCACCTGAGCCCAGGAGGTTGTGGCTGCAGTGAACTCTGATTGCACCACTGCACTCAAGCCTGGGCAACAGAGCAAGACCTTGTCTCAAAAATAAAATTTAAAAAAGAGGAGAGATAGCTAGGTACGTGCCACATGCCTGTGATCCCAGCACTTTGGGAGGCCGACGCGGGCAGATCACCTGAAGCCAGGAGTTGACCAGCCTGGCCAACATCGTGAAACCCTGCCTCTATTAAAAATTCAAAAATGAGCTGGGTATGGTGTTGGACACCTGTAGTCCCAGCTACTCGGGAGTCTGAGGGAGGAGAATCACTTGAACCTGGGAGGCAGAGGTTGCAGTCAGCTGAGACTGTGCCACTATACTCCAGACTGGGCGACAGAGTGACTCCGTCTCAAAAAAAAAAAAAAAAAAAAAAAAGGAGTACTCAGAGACAGAGAAGAAAGCCATGTGGTGAGAGGCAGAGCTGGGAGTGGTACAGACAAGCACAAACTAAGGGACGCGAAGATGCCAAGCGCGGTGGGCAGCCGCAGCACCCAGGAGACAGCCCTCGGATGGGGTCTCCCTCACAGCCTCCAGAGGGAACCGGCCCTGCCGTCACCTTGACCTTGGACTTCTGGCCTGCAAAACTGTGAGACAGTAAACTCCCATCGTTTACAGCTGCCGAGATAGGGGTGCTTTGTCAGGGCAGTCTAAGAATCTAAAACAGGATCAAACGCCACTTCCTGGGTCCTGCAAGGCTCTCCGGCTCGGCTGTCTGGGCTGGGTGCAGCCCACGATGCCTTGGTGTCCCGAATGGGACTGGGGCTGGGGCTGTGTTCCCCGGAGACTCACTGCCAAGTTCCTGCCTAGGGGATTGGGGCCCTCTGGGTAACCCCCACATAGGCACTGAGGAAGGAGAACCAAGCAGAATCCTGGCACAATTAAGACCTGGAGGGAGAATATCTCAGTTTACAGTATTACTAGTCAGTTATTTCCCTTCATAAGATCCTCTCTATATAACCGTACATTAGTTCACAGAATAAGTGCCTAAAGAATATCTCACCACTCAGTTGTTTCCATATACGTATATATAAAACTGTATCTTAGTTCATAATCGGAGGAATGCCTAGAGCAGACACAGTGCAGAGCATGATTTAAGGAAAAACAAGTTACACCAGGACAAGAATCCATGGCCTAGGCGGCAGCGTTCAGTATCGTAAAGATACCTACCCGCTGTATGGCAGGCTTGGGGCGAGAGCCACTCCTCCTGATAAAGGGGCTGTAGGACGTGGCTCCAGTTCTTGTGGAAGGCTGCCCTCAGAGCGGCAATCCACCTTGGTGACTGTGAACTTTATCAGCTCTGGTCACTGTGCTGCTCGAAAAGCATCCTCCTATAGAACTCATTGGGAGCTGCCAGCAGGTGGCGGTAACCCTGACAGCTCTGTCACTGCTATGGGACTTAAAGCATTCTCCTATAAATCTTAGAAGCAGCTTGCCCATAGATAGAAGTATCGCACACTGCACCCTCTTCACTGTGCATGGCCCACCTCCATGCCTCGGTGACCTAACGGGGGTGGACCCCTTGTTTTATTGCTCACGACCCTATCACTATCCTTAAAGATGATTTACTCACTGCCCTGACCCCTAAACTATACACAATAAATACTCACGCTTCTGGACATTCGGGGCCTCGCCTGACTCCGCTTATAGGTGGCATGGCTCCCCTGAGCCCAGCTGCGTCTTCCTTGTACTTCTGTGTCCTGTCTCTTTATTTCTCAGACCCTGCACCTCAGCACAGCATAAGGGACACCTCACGACCCTGTGGGGCCCTCAGCCCTACAAAGCCCCACCAGGCTCAGAGCCTGGTTGGCCGTTCTCATGCTCACCAGCTTCTGGCTTTGGGATGTCTCTCCAGCAACCAGAGTAGCACCCCCAACTCTGCTCCCCGAAACCCATCACTAGCATGACCCAGCCTCCTGCTGTCCCCTGTTCTGGGGACCCTCGCCTTCCCACCTCTCACCTGCAGACTGGTTTTCATTTTCTATGTCACCAGGGACAAGGTGGGACAATGGAGGGTTGGGAGGACAGTGTGTGCCGAGGGGGTTCGGGTATTGCAGCCCTAGAAACAGCCCCCGTTCCCAGAAGTCTGCAGCCGGCTCTAAGCCTTGCACGGGATAGGGCATAGTGCCTGCGGAGGACAGAGCAGGTGTGCGGGGAAGGGGAGAAGCCTCAGCCCCGGTGCGTGTGCGTGACACACACACACCGCTGCTCACACTAGGGAGCGGCACGGGGCAGTTTCAGAGGCCGCTGGGGTATGAACTGTGGGGGCAAGGCAGAGGGTGGGGGACTACTGTTGGCCTCCCCATTGGACCTATGTCTGGCAGCCCTGGGCCGGGGGTGTCAGGGGCCCGGGCTATACACACACACAGTTTATGTGCAACCCAGAATGTGTAAACAAGTGATGTGTGTTTGTATCAATATCCTGGCGTGATCATTTACTAGAGTTTTGCAAGATGTTAACCACAGGTGCAAGTGTGAGTAGGAAACGTCCCCAGGACCAAACTGTGGTCCTACAACTGCAAGCGGTTGTAGGATTATCTCGGGGTGCAGGCGTTGGACATCCATAAACCCTCCTCCCCACCACTCCCACCACTCTGTAAAGCTGGCCTGTAGATGAAGACGAGGGGGCTCAGGAGCCCCGGCCTGTGGAACCCCACCACACAGCCACTAAGTCTCTAAGGGGCTGGGGTCTGCACCCATCTGTGGACAGGTCTGGAGCCCTGGGGGCTGCCCTCTGGGTTCCCGATGACCGCAGGAGGCTGAGGTCCTGCTGTGACCCTGGAGATGAGGTTTTATCTTATCACACCCTCTATGGCAAGTGGGCACCAGACCTCGGGCTGGGGAAGAAGCCACAGGGCCCGTCCTTTGTAGGGTGACGGGGGCCAGGGCAGCCTCAGACCTCGGCCTCTCAGGCAGCCAGAGGCGTCTGTGCTGGCGGAGATCAGGGCTGAGCAGTGTTGGCTGAAATAAATACCACCCCAGAGAAGATGGGCAAAAATGCAGATACAGGCGGGTGCCAGGAGTCATAAGAAGAGAATCAAAGCCTGCTGGTGCTGGTAGCAGGCAGCTGGCAGGGCCCCCCAAGGCAGGCAGGTCCCAGGGCTGGAGGCCTCAGGAGTGGGCTGGTCATCTGGGCACAGGGACGTCAGGAACTCATGGTGGTGAAGCACCGAGGTCACCCAGCCCAGGGAGCCAGAAGCTGAAAGTGCATTTGTTGGGAGCCATCTGCTTCCCCGCAGGGCCTTGTGCTGTGAGCCTGAGGTCCCCTGGGGTGAAGGCAGAGGGTTCAAGAGCTGGGACAGTCTTGGGACAATTCAGGGTCGTGGGTGCGGGGCCTTGTGTTACAGAGAAAGGCGGTGTGTTCCGTTTTGAAGTTGTACAAAGGGTGGATGTTGTTTTGCTAATCTGCTCCATGTTGTTTGCTCAGAAAGAGGCTTCTGGCCGCACGAGTGCTTTCCAGGAATGTTTCTTCCCTGGGAACAGAATGCCAGGCTGTGGGAGCCACCGTGGTCCCAGGAAAATGATGCCCAGCTCCAAGGCTGGGGGTTGGGGCGCTTGGAGTTCCAGCCGGAGCTGGGAAGGTTGTGGGGGGGCTCCCAAGGGACCTCCAGCTGTCCTCCCCCTGCACCAGGCCGGTGACTGCTGAGCCCACATCTGGGTCTCGAGTCTCATCCTAGAGATGGGCAGGTCTCTGCCATCCTGCTCCTTGGGTTCATTTAGAGGCAGGTGTCACCTGGGCCGAGGTCTGCCCAGCCACCAGGCAGAGTCACAGGCTGATAGGGACAGGATGCAGCCGATGGTGTCACCCTTCTCTGAGCGGGGCAGCCGTTAGGAAGAGAAGCCGCTCTGACTGGCCAGGAGGGAAGGAGAAAGATTCCTATGGGGCTGCCAGGCCTTCGGGGTGGGACCCCACACCCCTTTCCTGAACCCACCTCCACGGGGCTCAAGCTGGCTGCCACCTCCTCATTTAGATGACAGAACCCCACCTGGGAGAGGGACACCCGGCCCAGGCCCGGCACTGCACAACTCTGCCTCCTGTCCCCTTCCCATGGACCGCGGTGATGGACTCTGGGTGTCCACTTCCAGTGAGTGGGGAGGCGCTTGCGTCAGACCACCAATCAAATTGAAGAGCTCCCCACAGAACACTACCCAGCAATACAGAGAACAGACTCCATGCTGGGCACAGTGGCTCACACCTGTAATCCCAGAGCTTTGGGAGGCTGAGATGGGAGGACTGCTTGAGCCCAGGAGTTTGAGGCTGCAGTGCACAATGACTGTGTCTACAAACAGTCACGGCATTCCAGCTTGGGCAACATGCAGAGACCCCACCTCTACAAAACACACACACACACACACACACACACACACACACACATATTAGCTGGGCATGGTGGTGTGTACCTGTGGTTCCAGCTACTCAGGAGGCTCAGGCAAAAGAATGGCTTGAGACCAGGAGGTCGAGGTTGAGTGAGCGAGCTGTGACTGTGCCACTACACTCCAGCCTGGGCAATACAGTGAGATCTCATTTCAAAAATAAAAAGCATACACTGGGCACGGTGGCTCATACCTGTAATCCTAACACTTTGTGAGGCTGAAGCAGGTGGATTACCTGGAGTCAGGAGTTTGA